ATATTCTTATCATGGTTACCTACCTACATAAACTTCTCAGCACAACTTGGTAGGTATATTCTTAATACTTGATAGAGATATTAGGCAAAAGAACATTTTTAGGGTACCTACATTATAATAATGTTCGTATGAAAATATTCAAAGATTGTTATATAAAGTAGGTTCTTAGCACAATCTTTCAGGTAGGTGCATAGAAGCAATATTCCTAGTACATAAATAGAACGTTCAAAAATGAATATTTCAATCGAAACAATCTTAAAATATTCATTAAACATTCCTAAAAGAACATTCCAAAAAGCACTTTGAGGGAATATTCTGAGAATATGAATGTTCTTTCACTGTTATGTGGGAAGCCAAGCGTGCGGTATGATCTATAACGCCCGCTTATAATGCCCTGAGGTGTTTTTGTTGTTGTTGTTTTATTAATTTGCACTTTACCCTAGGCAGCCACTAAATTGATGAAAGAACCTTGTGTTGAGTAGAAAATAAAGCATTGTATGCACCACGGGGATTTTTAGATTATAATGCCCTTCAGGCGGAATATATCCCTCGGGCCAGAGGCCCTCGGGCTAGTTTTGCTTTCGGGCATTATAATCTACATAATCCCCTTGGTACATAAATAGCTATTACAAAAATAGGTAGGACCACTGGTAGGACCCAAGTAATAAATTTGCCAATTTTGTATGGTTTTTACAAACGTCTCTATCACACACACACAAACTAATTTGAAATTCTAATATCTCGAATTCGGGAACAAATAGAAAAAAACTGGGAAAGTCACTGGATTCTCGCCACAAAACGGATCAAGATATCATAAAATTTGAGCCTCAGAATGGGGGTTGATTTTTTTGAATCTCGCTAAGAAATTGACGTTTTCTATTAAAAGTGTCCCGAGAAGTGTCCAAACAACCCTGCACATATCAAAAAACCGAAAATAACAAATAAAAATACCTATTCCAAATAAAAATATAACAAATTTATCTGATAAAAACAAAACGATAAATTAAATAATAGTGTAGCTTGGAAAATTTTCACATAACATTTTATTGGAAAATTTTTCCATGAACTTTTATGGAAAATTTTTATAAAATTTTTCTATCTATGATTTTTTAAAAATTTTAGTAGTTTTTGAGACTCTCAGGGGGGGGCGCGCGCCCCCCGCGCCCCCCTGGATCCGCCACTGTATTAAAATCGGTTTTTTGATGACACTTTACGCATAGAAGGTGTATTTTTACTGCCTGGTTAGAAAAAAGTACTTTTTTCTGCCTAGGAACAAAAAATTCGTTGCGATGCAACTTTCCAGGGGATAATTTAAATTACCCTGATGGTAATTGAAATGGACAATGATATTAAAGTAAACACAAACGCCATCAGCGCAATAAATGAATATAAAAATGTGGATTATGCGTGAAATTGGAACAAATTCGAAGAAGAAATTAATTGTTTCACACGGCAGAAAATCAGATTTATTTAATGCCTTGGCTGGTTTCCTAGCCTCGGCATTGAATCTTGTGCTTTTCTGCCTAGTAAAATAAATAACTATTTTGTTTGTCAGCATAGCAGGATATCCTGTTATTTATTATTTTTTTATCATGGATTGTTTTGTTTGCTGTTTTGTAATCTTTTAGTTTTTCTTCGTAATCTTGACGGTTTTCTCTCAAAGAATTCACATCCTTATTGGCTGTTCCTAGTTTTCTAGCTCGCTCTAGCTTACTGTCGAATATATCACCATTTCGTTATCACTTCCTGAGCTGAGTCTTATATGGTGTACCTACTTTGTTTCGGGTAAGTAAGTATTTGGTCAATTTAGTTTTGGTTTGTCCGTTTCACTGACCTATGTCGATTTGTAGGTTTTCAGAAATATAAGAGAAATTCCATAAATTCTTCAGTTTTAGGAAACTTATTCCGGTGGAATTTAATTTTTACTATAGGTGATATAAAAGGTGATAGAAATGGTGCGCCGTGCGCCATCAGACTTCAGAAGATACCATTTCTGCAATAAATTGAGAGACACTTTTTATACAGCAGAGGGAATAGCATTGCCCGCAATTCCATCCAAAGCAATTTCCTACCTATCCCGGTCTAGAGAATAATAAACCTAACATATATATTAAGGAACTAATATGAAAGTGATGAATAAATTAAAAAAGTACGAATGCGCACTCTTAGTCCATTCATATTTAACATAATTTACCACAAAATGGGAAACATTAACTTCGATGCTATTTACTATAAGCTGATGATAATGCAGTAATTATTGCTGACTCAGAAGAGGACACTCAGAGTCTATACTCTACTCACAAAATAATCAAATATAATCAGTAACAGTTACAAAACCTAATTGTGTATCTACTATAACTTCCATGGAACTGTCAAGGTATAAATAAAAGATTGAACGGATTTGAAGCCTTGAAAAAAAAAATCTCAAAAAACTAAGCAAAAAGCAAATAACATATTGTCAACGTATCAAACTGAAAATAAATTAGAACCATACAAAAAAATATACGAAGAAATAATAGATACAAGAATATAAAATATAAAATATAAATGCAAATTATGAAATATAAAACTGAATACAAACATGATCCAACACAGTGACAAATTTACGCATCCTAGAAGGAGCTATCCGACGGGCTATCTGCTGAACAAAAAAAAAATAATGGGAGGGCGAAGATTACATGACAAACTCGAGTTATCGATGCTATTGAAATGAAATTTATATGTCATTCTGGAATGAGACCACAAAATGCCACAATATAAGTAGTAGGGGGATCTCCAATAAGATGGCGGGACGACCTTAGGGGTCAGCAAAATATGGCTGGATGAAGTTACGAGAGACCTAACCTATGTCCAGGAGTGTCTGTTTGATGATGTTGAATCACACTTCTGGCTTTATAGTCATTTTTTTCAATAATCGTTAAACCCACCACAATGATTCAAATAGAAAACAAATTAGTTTTAGAGTAAAACTATAAGTATCATTTTTTGTTTAAAAAATAGAGCGACAATAAGTGAAATTTTACTTTAATATTTTCCATATGAATCATTAGACAAAATACACCCGTCATACATTATATTTGTATTTCCGTCATCATCAAGCATCATTGTTTCTGATTGAACTCACCACCGCAGATACGAAATCTTGAGAATTTAAATTCCAATAGGGAATAATTCAATACTTTGACCCAGATTGAATTTTTTCCCCGTGAACCGCAACTCGCATAGTTCAGAAACCGCAGCCAGCAGGATTTTGTTACACAAATTATTCAGCCAAGAATAACTTTAACGCTGCCAATATCCATTTACAACAAGGTCGTTTTTATTTTTGCCGCTTTTATCCAGGATGATAATGAAAATTTCTAAATTATTATTCAAAGCGTATATTTCAATATCACTGCCCGATCATATCCATTGCAATTCAAATTAAATTTATAATCAGATTTTTTTCCTGTCAAGGCTCTACTAACTAATTAGCATTTCAACATAATAGGGTATTTACTTATACGAGTGGCGCACAGTAGCGCATTTAAAATTCTAATAATGTAAAATGTAAGTATTTGATTCAAATAATAATGTTATTTGGGTCGATAACGCAATCAATTTTCTTAGAAAAATTAATTATCACCTGATAAATATTTGGGAAATAATTGAAATTGATTGTATATCAATGGGAAAATGTCGGTATTTTGAATTCCATCTTCGAGCAGGCAATTTGGTCATATAAAGGATTGATCTGTGATATCGGATTGAGTTTTTTTATGTGAAAAGAAATAAGTACCTAAGTACCATAAGATGTTTAGTATCGGATTCAAATTTTTGATCTGGAAAGAGGAAGTTCAATTTCTTTTATAAGTATTTAACAGAAAAATATCAAGCTATTTCACTTTTCTAGGAAAGTTATGCAATTGAATAAAATCCAGTTTGGTACCATCAACAAATCCATCACAACCTTTCCTTCTTAATTCTCATTTTATCTTAATTAGTATTCGTCTCTTCTGCATGCGTAATTTCCAAGTTATGTCGGCATTTTCGCTACTGGAGTGATAAAATCGCAGAAAAACCCAAGAACAGTCGCCTTCACTCTTCATATTTAAAATTAATTCGCCATGCACTGACTCAAGTGGCTTTGTTTTTATGCAAACTCATTTCGGAACCTTCAAAGTACGATTTTCGTACAGATACGTAAACAATGTACCTATTGAAAGGAGGATTTCCGGATTAATGATTGGTACAGATTAGGTACTGAATTTGTTTTTTGTTAAATATGCACAAAACAAATCAGTAAATATTTATAAAACATTATTGAGTAAATATAAAATAATTCCTATTTCTGCATAAAAAAGTAGAACTAAAGTAAAAATGAAATAAGAACCAAATACACTAAACTCGAATTTAGATAAAAAAGAACCCTAAAAAAAGTTGAATTCATGCAAAATGAGTATTTGAATTACTGGATATCCTGATTAAATTGTGTTAGGATTGAAGAAGTACCCTGTAAATAAAAATTATCATTTTTTATAAATTCTTATCATAATTTTTTTTAATTATTTTTGGCCCTTTGTTTGAACTGTAAAATTATAGACAAATTTTGTGTGTCGTAAATTTTTCCAAATTTAAAAAAAATTGTTATTGCCCAAATTCAGTTTTACTTTAATTTTGATATAAATATTAGATAAGTAACCTAAACTCATCCAGAATAAGCTAAAAGAAGGCATGGAGAAAAATTTAACTATATATTATTATTAACAATAATTTAAAAAAAAAAACAAAACCCAAACAATAAATATACATATAAGAAAACCCACTATTTAAGTAAATAACTTATTTTTTTGTATAAAAACAAACAAATTATTGAAAGTAAATATTTCTTGAAAAATACATAAAATCACAAATTAAAATTGTTTTAACATTTACAAATTTCATTCCTAAAAAACTAAAAAATATACCTATCCAAAACATGAATCATTTCACTTGAAATTGATGATGCACTCAACACTTACCTTGATGACGTCTCAAAAATCCAAAATCTATTCCCAATAACAATCACCTAATTAATTACCAAACACTAATTCAAAGCACTGAAAAGTTTTGAAAAAGTAAACACCGCGTTTTAAACGTAAGAACGAGCGACAAACGACTGCGCTCCCTGCGATTTACCATTGAACTAAAGCTCGTGTATTTAGTTGCGGCCCCCGGAGGACATTTATCGTCTATTGCTCAAAACAAACGGAGAAGAACTTTACCATATGGGTGGTGGGAAGATGGTATCACAGTATCACTTAAATTAGGGTGTGTATTCGGTTTGAGCTTTGAGGTTCGGACGGCCAAATCTGGTGGGATTGATAATTACTGAGACTGATTAGGTTGGACTTCAAAGCTCTTAGTAGCGCTAATTTCTGAGGTTGGATTAATTAGCAAAATTACTGTTATGTGTTCGCGGATATTCCTTGTATAGCGATTCAGGGAAATGTCATACCTATTGTGTTCACAGTAGCAATTAATTATTAAATTGAAAAAAAAAAACTTCGAACTACGTAGGTTTACTTCGCGAATATTTTGTTGATTTTGAACTACTTACCCGTTTATTTCAATTTTTTTAGAATGACATAATTGGAATTTGAAAATCTATCGTGAAAGGTTTGATAGAAACTTTGTCACGAATTTTTGCGGGTCCTTTGAAACTCAAAGTATTTTGATTTTTCACTGTTGAAAGTTGAAACTGCCAATGCCAGTGATTTATTGCTATATGGATAGATGGATACCTTGTACACGACTCTTTTTTCAACTGTATGATATGAATGTAACAAATAATATGCGAAACCTTCGAAAATATGCATTAACCCTCGAGCAGGCGCGCTATCGGCCTTTTATGCCGCCTTTTCACTAATGCAAGGATTTCGCAAATATCGTGGATTTTATCATATTGTCCGTCTAGCTATGTTCAAATCTCAATCAAATATCAGTAAACCTACTAAGCACAAGTTACGGCCTTAGAGCGCTTGTTCAGATTTCAGTTATTACGTGACAAAAACGGACACTATCACCTTGTTACCCGCAAAACGTAAGGGAGAAGTTAATGCTAAGATTTTGAGGAGGTGGGAAAGTTAATGGGTAACTAAAAATAAAAAAAAAATAAAAAGAGAAGAGAGAGTTGGTTGGTGGCTGAAATCTAGAAACGTGATTTCGTGTAAAGAGTTGCCGACTAGCTTCCAATGCGGAGAGGGGGTGGGTTAATTAAATAACTAAATATAGAGCGCCACCTGCTTTTTCCCTGCAGTACACGAAATCAACCGATATAACGAAAGCAGGAAACTTCTACGGAACTATAGCAGCACAACCTGAAATATAAACAAGAAGGAGGGACGAAAGTGAAACGCTTTGCTACAATCAGGTACGGATTTTTAATTAGCACCAGAACAGAATAAGTCTGACTCCAGATCAGGTTCGGAGAAGAAAAGAAATCGCCTAGAAACTAGGTTAGGTACTACCTTATATACTCCAAAAATAGTATTTACAATAAATTAAGCAATAATACCTGAAATATAAATAATAAATGGACAAGCTCACCAAATGCAGTACCTTCGTAAATGGCCATTTAGCCCCAGTGTATTGTTTGCCCAGCGGTTCTGAGTCTACGGAAGGAATTCGGACGTAAGTGTGCGATGTTGTCACGTTTAATTATAAAAATGCGAAAATACTAGGCATTAAGTATAGTTCATTTGAAAATCCATTTTTTAACAACAAAATATAGATAACAATAATAAAACGCTAAATATTTTAACGTTGTTCGATCTATTCCTATTTTAATTTCTGATTTCTTCAATTTAGTCTATTGAAAAAATAGACATTTTCTAAAGATACCATCAGCTTTTGTCAATTTGGCAAGCATCCGGCCTGTATTAACCTAATTGGTGGAGTTTTTGGCAGGATTTCCGTTGCCACGGGGAACCATGTGGTTGTCAATGTGCTAACGTCACCTTACGTCTCGCTATTGGTCAAGGCTCCCGTCATTGTATCCTCCCATCTTGAAATGTCGATTTATATTGAAATATCCAGTGGCGGGGGTTTGGTCATTATCGATTTTCGTGTACGAGTTGCAATAAGATAACATTTCCAAAAAGTTCCGCACGCAGCTGGGTATTTTATGAATGAAATCAGCCATTTTTTTTACAACTGCATTCCCCTTACCGTTGCCCCGTAGACACAGACTCGCTGGGCAGACATTACAAGTATTTACCTGTATTCAGTGCAGCATTAATCAAAGTTGAAGCAACAATACGTAACCTGAAGGGCTTTAATATTATGTAACAATATAGGTAGTATAGATACCTAAATACCAAATAAAATTGAAGTACTTAACAATACATAACCTGAAGGGCAAGTTTCATAAACAAAAAAAAGGTAATATAGAGGATTAATTAGAAATTGAAATGACAACACATAATCTGAAGGATAATTTAATATTGTTGTAGAACTGCGTTGTTGTGGTGATTTACTCCAACAAGGGGTTGGTAAGGTTTGATATTACGACAACACAACACACTTATCAAACCTGAGTAGTCCCTAAACTCTTGGGGGAACCATACGGATGGGATTAATATCTGCCAGTGTTTCCGATGGCCTGGAACTGGATCAGGATCGCGACAAGAAGCAACTAACCCTGGGCACTGAATATCGCGGTAACTAGGAGTCAATAAAGCTTCCAATGGTCCAGAGGAGGCTGAAGATTGGAGGTACTACTTGAAACACACAGTACGCTCAACGTTTAACTCTTTACTCAAGTTAAGGACTAAGCGTGACGAATAAAAGGTGACGATTAAAACGTAACGTCTAAGACTGAAGATTAAAGGTGATGAATAAAGGCCTGAAACAAATGGACGTTATGAGACAGGGCGTGGAGCAATAGGTAGGTATGTCCAATATTCGGAATTTAACCATGTTATTAACAGAAAACTATGCTTTTACATAGGAAATAGAGAAACAGAGAAGATTAATAAGAAAAACGACTTACCAAAATACTTTGGCCTTTAGGAACAAACAATTGGTCACGTTGCTCTTTCTCGACTCACAAAAAAAATCCGCACAAGGCGATTGGGTGCTAAAATAACGGATAAGCCACCCTAGATCTATGAGCGAAAACTAGACAACTCAGAAAATCGGCAAAATGTGCCTGAGGAGTTTTCCCGAACACTTAATCGTGGAAAGTCCTCGACCTAAATGACCTCTGCTTGTCCCTGCAATGTCCTTTAAAAAGTCTCTGTCAAAACTCCAAGGTGGAAGGTACTAGGGAATTTTGATGGTAGTTGGGGCATGGTACTTATTCAAATTAAGTTAGTACCGGTCATTGAATCTATTTGGAGCGCTGTCAATCTAGACAATCTACTCGGATCAGACAATCAGCTGTTCTAGTATAAATATTGTGATTTTGTTTGTTAATAAATTAATTGTCTATTTATTTTAACCCTACTAACAGGAAATCAATTCCATTAAGCTCTTCCCAAATTCGACAACGGTTGTTGGACAATACTACTTTGTAACTTGATGAAGCCAAGAATTAAGCTCTATCTCTAGAATCAGCACAAAAACATTCAGAAGTATATAGCCTATCTTAAGGTGTGATTAACTCAATTCAATCTGAAAGTAGAGAAACACATAAAAAAGACCTCATTTTTGCTGCTACGAAAGTGTACAAATGTTATTTCTGTGGAAGTACTAAAAGACATTTTCGCGTGTTATGCCCTGCTAAAGATTCAACGTGTACTGAATGCGGTAAACGTGGACATTTCTCCAAGGTATGTCTAAGCACAAGAAAAATCAAAGCTTCTGCCTCAATTATACCTGCTTCTGGGCTCCTTTGTGCGACACCTGAAAGTTTAACCAAATGCCTTATCAAAATTAAATTAAACAATGCCGTTGCTGATGCTTAAGTAGAAACAGGGAGTTCTGAAACATACATTAATAAAACTTTTGCCTTATCTATGTACCTATACATTCAAGCACTGGATATATACTAATGGCCACAACAGCCTCACAGTCTCAAATATCAGGTCATTGCTTTGTAGATTTAGAAATGATGGGCATACATACAGAAAATTACATTCATGATATTCTTAGACAGCATTCAAGCCTTGAAGTATCTTCTGGAGGTTCTAAGGCCCGTATTCTCAGTCACACCTCAAATTTAGGACCTTTTGTGACTTGAGGTCGCCTTGAATAAGGAGTAGCGAGTTGAAGAATCCTTATTGAATGAAGCCTCGTCTTAAGTTTTGCAACTGGCAACAACGGTTTCTACGAAATGTCCATTGTTATTGTCATTAAGTTGTCATAGTTAATATATGGTCCTCTGCGAAAAAGGTCAGATAGCTGTAGAAACAGTGATTTGTCTGTGAAATTTATGCGCAAGTAATTATGGCGACCAAGTACATTGAGACTGAAAAAATGTTCCTGATCCGGATATGGTAGCTCAGCACAGAGTCATAGTTGAAAATAAAAAAATAGACGCCGTATTATTGGAGGGAAAACAGGCAACCTGGGATGAAATTTGTAGTTCCTTGACCATTTTGTGGATAACCCACAACAATGAAGTTGCTTGGCGATATAAGGATAATAATTGACAAATTAAAAATAATAAAACATTTTCTCTAACAATTTTCTAGTTTTTTTTTTATCATTGTTTGAAAAGTAAAAATACTTTTGGTCCACCCTGTATATACAATCAATCTATTAATTTTTTGATGTTTTTTTTTTATCCCTATCTTAACTATTTTATCTCTATTTTAACTATTATCTCTATCTTAACTTTTCAAAGTTTCAACTTTCTGTTTCTTTTCCTTTAATAACCTTGATACTTTGCAATAGGTGAGCGAACTTGCCCCTGTCTTCTAGCCTCGAAACATGTAGGGTGCTTTAACTTGATCAAAGTATTTTGTGGCGGTTTGTGTATTCTTTTGGAATTAAATTTCAACTCCACTTTGAGATAAGGACTACTTCTTCAATTTAGAATTCTTATGGCTTCTGCACGTCTCGAATGTACCCTGTTGGCCTCCGCAGCACAACCCGCGTGTGGCTAAATTCACCAAAATATTTCAATGCCACAGATGCGGTGATTTTTTTGACTCACTTATGCATGCTAATGCCTGTTTAATTCAATACTGCTTTTTCTCCCATTCCACCATGGTACCAGCTGAATTTAGCCACACGCGGTTATCATCATCAGCGACATTTTTATCTCTACAAATAAATTTTCCAGCTCATCCATTCCAATTACAATACTTATACTTTGCACATCAATGAAATACAGTTCACGTACTGTTACCAATTACGACATTTTTAATAGAAATTGGGTAGAAATGAAAACCAGTCTCCAGGGACCTCTGGACATTTCTCAAGTCAAGGAAGCAAATATGTC